CCCCCTGCTACCAAAACCTTGCCGTGCAAACTGATTACAATTTTTCAGACCCGATTCTAGCTGAACGGAACTGCCAGAACAATTTTCAAGAGTGGTTTTTATCCTAGTCCTCTATTTGGAAGACAATGCAGGCTAACCTTTGAAAATAAGACTACACATCTTTCATTTGTGGAGAGATAAAAGAGTCATGACTTTTGGTAAATACGCCTGGATCGTTACAGGGGTTACATCCTATTTTGAGTATGTGAAGATACTGTTACAGACTGGTAAGTGAGACTGAAATGCAGACTTCCTCTTCTGGATGTGATCTGCAACAAGGTTCTCCAGTGGTTACACCCACTGCTGTGTCATCAGTGCTACTGCAAACACTACCTTTCACAAACTCAGACGTGTTAACAACAAATTCCTGAACATGCAGAACAAACTTAGCAGGACTAAGGAGGATGTTTTTAAAGCTGAAGGAGATTTTACCTGTGTTCTTAATTAAGATATTCTTTTGATAAGTACAGAACAGAGGAAAGGAGTCAGAAGAACCAAATCAAAGGTATACATTAGGGAGTGAACTAGTTTCACATGGTCCTATGAGAAAAGGATAACCAAGTACAAATGTTTTAGAAGAACTGCATTAATCTCTTTGATGCATGACCTGCATTTTCAGTCATCTTCAAGTTAATCAGTTAATATGAGTATCCAATTTCAGAGTATTTTGGGCAAGAGAAAGACAGAGAGAATTGTTTTACTTTTTATAAAAATGTTCATTTAATATTTAATAGGAAATAGGGCTATTAGATATTAAATTTCATTACTTTTGTCTGGAAAATAATTTGTATTTAAATTTAGGATGAAACCCTAGTCTGTCTTGTCTTTTTTTTTTCTTTAATGAATTTTAAATTAGCCTTAAAAGTGAATCTTGCATTAAGAACTTTTCCTAAAATGGTCATATCAACAGAAGTAGTAGCTTCCATCATTCATTTCCATACTGCTGTATTCAATAAGCTATACAGGAAAGCAATACAAAAATGAAACAGTTTGGCAATCAGAAAACAGTATGAAAGCACAGAACGAGCTACAGATTTCAGTATGTCCTCAGTTTTAAAGCTCAACTGACAAAACAGCAATGCCTGAATTATGTACTGTGACTTACACAATACCTGAAACCTATTGTCTGTGACGCTTTCAACTTCACCACCATCCATTATAGCCTTAAGCAACTTGTTTGTAAAAACTTCCATTTTAATATCAAAGTATAAATGTGTACCCTTGTTAGGAAAAGTATTTTTAATTAATTAAATTGCTTTGAAGTTGAATGAAGAAATTTGTATTTTAACCACAAAAGCCTGAAAATTAAATCTTTCATTTTTCTTTTTAAAGCAAAAATCAGACTTTTCTTTTACACTAATGGGGAAAAAATAACAACTAAGTAAAGAAACTACAGCTTCAAATGTTATGTTACAATTATGATTGCATAAAATTTGTGCAGTACAAACTTTACCTCAATCAATTTTCTTTCATATGAGCTGGCCAATTCCTCATTGTTTTCTACTTGCTTTTGCTCTGGAATAGTAAATTCACCATCAGTGCTCCAAATGTTTGGTAGAACTAAAACAAAGAGACACCTCAAATTAAAATGTTAGATTATATAAACATCTAAAACAATCTGTTTAGAAGTAATAACTCTAAAAGAAACAGTTATTAGAAGTATCAAAACAGGATGTAGTATTAAACAGTATTACAAGTACTGAAATACAAATGCTGCAGGGAGCTTTCTTGTGAGCAATATTTAGACAGATACTCTCAACAGAGAAAAATGAAAACTAAAAGCATTTTCAGTCCTATGACTACAGCTCTCTAATATATGTAGGTAGTAACTGCAATTCCTGCCCAAAGCCTTTGAAAACTAAGCCTAGGCTTCTCTTTTAAGTCTTTTTTCTACTTCTCTTCCAGAGTATCATTTCATATTACTTGCACAGACTACTTACATATCATAGAAATTACAGAAAATAGGGCTGAGAATGGACATTCCACACTTTAGTATATCATGGTTTTTCATAAAGCAGAATCAGCTGTAGTTATTTCATTCCTGATAGTTAATTGTCTAATTTCTTCCTAGAAACCTCCAATAACAGAGATTTCATGCTTCCCTGCACAATCTATTTAAATTATTCTTCTCAGGAAGGTTTTCTTGATAGCTAATTCCTTCACCTGCCATTTTAGCCCATTATTTCTTTTCTTCTCCCCAGTGAATGAAAACTACAGTTTATTCTATTCCTGCTCCCACGTATCATTTAAGTATTTGATGATCGCTTTAAGGCCAATGTCAAGTAAGTCACCTCTTCTCCAAGTTACACAAAGTCCAATTCAACTTTTCCTTACAGATCATGAATCTCTAAAAAAACAAGTTAGCACATATAAAGTAAACAAGCCCTAATAAAAGAGAGGTTTAACAAATGCTTTCACCATTTTTTAAAATCTAAGCTAAATATATAACCACTATAAGGTAGATAGAAGACACCAGAATTCATCTGAGTAAATACTCTTGAGCCTAGGAACTTATTTTTGTTCATAATTATTTTAAGAGAATTTTGAAAGCTATTTTAAGAGCTGTTTCTTGTAAACCTTGCTTAAAGCTCTTCAGCCAGAAACTTCCAAGATGAGCATTTTTATATACATAATATTATTGTATCTAAGCAAGTTTGAAAAATGGTACACATCCAACTCCTGCTGATGGCTGAGAAATCAGGATGTTAATTTATTAAGTATTCAAATACCAACATCAAACTGCTCAGTCTATGGCAGTGATCACTCATTTCAAAAGCTGGTATGATATTCTGAACTTGACACAGTTCTGACTTTAGGGCAATTTATTTACAACCAGATTTGCTGAGTGGTTTTTTGTTGTTTGGTGTGGGTTTTTTTAAGTCACCATGGGCAAAATGTTATGCTGAATTTAATTTATTATTTTAGGAAACTATTTAAAAGGCAACTCAATAGCAATTCTGATCTAATTATTGTAGCAAACATATATTCTTCTCTATTTATAGTCATAAAAATAACAGCAGAAGCTCAATTTATTTTGACTCTTTCAAAATAGTTTCACAGAAATTCTAAATACATAGTGTTCTAAAATCTACAATGCATTTAAGACTTGTGTTCTGATACCATTTGGAAGAAGATTAATCATCATTGAAATTACTCATTATGGTATCATAGGGCAGCAGTGAAATTAGTTGTATGCAACAGTTCATGCCTCCCTGAAGATGATTTCCTAACATTACAGCAAAAGAGGACAGCTGGGAGTTTTCCAAGTTTAAACAGATCAGACCTCTACGTCCCTGTCTACATGTAAGACTAGTTCAAAGTCAAGAGCCTTAACCTATGAGTGTGTAAATTAATATATTAAGAAACCAACAAGAATTTTAACTTAAAATTACAAAAGCAGGGAAAACAATAGTTTCTTCATCCTATTTTCTTCACAAAATTGTCACGATCTCAGAACACAGTAATGAAACAGGTCTTGTAAATATACTCTGTAACCTTTTTCAGCATGTAAGTGAATTAAGAACAATAATTACTTAAGTCACATTGTTATGGTCACTTTAAGCTGTACCACAACTGGCATTCACTAATTCGCCTTAAGTTACACAATGACATACTGAAAAGTACAAATAGCTTTCTAATAATGCAAATATTCTTAATTACAAAGGCTCACACCTGAAGAATATGAATGCCTGCAATGACATACTTGCAAGTTATCAGTGTGATAGTTTCTATAAATCTGGTAAAAAAATCCCTTTTGTTTCACTCTCCTTTTTTGAAGTGTATCTAAATACTAGTTCTCAGGGATTATTTACATGCTTAAATACTTTTTGGAGTCAGAGGCCCCAATAATACTAAAAGTTCCACATAAATCTCCAATGACAGCTAAGAAAAAAAAGTTGGTTTTATAAAAATATAATGCGTGATGATAGAATATAAGAAAAATATTCCAAAAAGTGCATATAGCTGAAATTTATTCTGGTCAGTAACAATAAATATTACAGAAAATTACTGTGGATTGATTAAATATCCTTTGAGCATAAAGCATACGTGTATTCGTTTTTAGAAATGTTGGTACTGTTCCATCCCCCTTTTTCATCTAGAAAATCTGACCATCCTACTCAGTTTCTATTCTTATCACTTGCTAATTTGCATAATTTTAACATGGCAGAATATAGCTAGCCTAGGAATATTTTTTTCTTTTCCTATAATTACACTCATCATGGAAGCTGTCAGTATCTAATGAAGGATAATTTCTGCTATTATAAGAAGCTTAAGCGATGGTTTTCGTGAATAATTCTTAATATGAATCACTACACTCCAGCAAAGTCGGAAGTAAAAACATGTGTTCTCACTAACAAAAATCCTTTTAAGGATGAATGAAGTTTTTTAACTACAGATAAGTATGGTGACTAGCCCTTAAGAGCAAAATTAATGTAGTATTCATTCCCACAGCCACTTATATGGCCACAATATTGTCACAAAAAAAAAAAAAAAAAAAAAAAAAAAAAAAAAAAGACAGATGGTGCTAATTTCTGAAAAGCCACTTCATCTCTCACAACACCTTCTGCAGTCAGTGAAAACACAGTTCCCACCACAAGATGGTTCAGAATCAAGACCCCAATTCATCTCATCATGGACACATCTATCACCACTGACCACTGAAGAAAAACAGATAACACTGCTGATAACTTAACTCGTTGACTTTCAGACACAAAATCTGCTCACTAGAGTCAGAGCAACTTAGCAAAGAAAGTGAAATGTCTGGTCTTAATACAGAGTCTATTTCAAACAGTCTGCAAATACTGATCTCCAAAACAACACTAACAGTATGACCTAGAGATACTAAAATTTCTCTCCTCAAAATTATTCCTACGTTCCAATATCACATTAATTCACAGATTTTTTTTTTAATTAAATTTTCATCCAATTTTTTTTCAATAAGAAACTTTCCAGAAAAAGCTAAGACCACCTCATCTACCAGAAAATGCTCTGTAAAAATAAGTACAAAAATCTACATCAGTATTTTTCTCAAAACGACAAGATATCAAATATGTTTTTTTCACTATTGGGAGATGATATTCTACCACGGTTAGAAGAGATGAATAGGGCTTATTATCTCTTGCTAACCCCACTTTCATGTAAATGATTTCACTTCTTTTGGCGAAGACTCAGCAAGGAAAGCAAAGACTTCTTGATTGCTTCTACTCAGCAGTAATTTGATAGTATGCCATCACATAACATTCTTTTTGTTTGATATCAATCTGCATTACAAAACTGTTCACAAGCAAGCAGTCCAGTTGGAGATGCGCGAGGGACAGTTTTCATAGAAACAGAACTGTCCTCTTTTCAGATGTTGATATTTTCCAGCAGGGTGGGGGGTGGTTGATGTTGTACTGGGTTGCAATGCAGAAGCGTGAACCATGTCCCCAGCCACACTAGGATTGTTTTGTGTGGTTGAAGTGTTGGTTATGGACCATGGCTTGCACAGGATTGGATGGCTGGTTATCTACAGAGATCCATTCCAGGATCAAACAGGAAAAAAAAAAAAAAAAAAAAAAAAGGGGCCAAAAAAAAAAGCAGATTCTTGCAAACCAGAGACATGCCTGTTCACTGGCTATTCTTTCATTGTCAGTTTTTATAGAAGTCCAGGAGTCACTTCGATCATTTGGTTACTATACCTGTGCCTCCAATAAACTCTGTCTCAGCGGTAGCATACAGAAAACCAAACCCTGTACATGGATTTTTTTTATTTTCCCCTTCATTTTTCCTTTACCTTCCACTGTTTGACCTTCTCTTCTGAGCATCTGGACAGCTCCCACATACTTCTTAAGTTGCACTTTTAGCACCTCATTTTCTCTGTTGATAAAAAGAACAGAATAAATAAAGCGTACTGTTTTCTTAAAATAGATGAAAGCCCCTTTCAATGCAAAGAAACATACTATCTGTAATAATAAGCTTTATCTAAGTTATGTCATCAAGATGAAAAAAAGATGACTTACACATTGAATAATACATCAAAAGCACAGTACCAGGAAAACTAGTTATGCAGGGCCAGATAAACACATCAGCAAAACAGATTACTTCATAATAAAAGATTTTTCATCAGTTGCTTAGTTTCGTTTTTCTATACTATGCTACATTGATGGCAGAAAAATTATACAGTCTATCTAAATCAACAGTTGATTAAAAAAATAAGGATGGGATACTAGACGAGGAAATTCAGAGACTTCAGCTTTAGAAATAGACTTTATCATTGTAAGAAAATGCTAGTACTTCAGCAACAACATTAAAGGTAAAAGTTTTCCATGTACCATTCCTAAATGAAAACCATAAGAGAAGAAATTAAGTTAATCCCTTTGACTGTTATATTTCAGTGCCTGTGCCTGTCTCATTTTTCTTTGGAAAGTACAAGTATTCAAACCAGGTACTATCATAGCTCCACCTATCAATATTAAGCACCTTAGTTTATATTTCTGCGGAAATAAAATAGGATTCTAACCAGCTGAATTTTAAACAAAGCTGACAAATCACACATCTGAAAATTCAGCTACCTGTCTAAGCCCATTCAGTTAACCAAGTATGACAGAAGTGTTTATACAAAAGAAACATAACTAAAATGTGTTGCGAGAGAGTGAATTCAGACTCTTCTTTCAGAAAATATCAGAGTAGAAATACACAGGTGCAGTACATAACCTGACACACAAGAAACCTTTTAGAGAGAAGAGAGAACATGGGCAGGTCAAAATCATGCCAGAAGAGCAGTACAAGCTCTAGGAATGATTAAACCGTAGATATGTGACAGATTACAGGAAGCCAGAAACAGATTATACACAAAAGGTAGGCATTTTATTTATGGGAATTTATTTAAGAATGAGAAATATTCAGAAACACATGCAAATATGTTTGATGGTCGTTATCATACTATATATATACATATACACATACACAAAATATATACATATTTTTATATATATGTATATACACACACAAAAATAAACTGCTGATGTGAGCAATGCCATATTTATATATAAAAACCCTAGACTAGTACTATATTCATATTTCTATGGATTTCAAATCAGTTTTTTGAACTATATAGCCTCAATTTTATTCAGTCCTTTAGCAGAAGGTTGCTAAATAATTGCAAAGAAACTACTGATTACCCAGCTATCAAATTTTAACAAAGTCTTTGATGATTTTATGTATTTTATGGTATTTTCATTTCCTGGACTATGAAGAACAGGTCAGTTTTTCCACCAGAGCTGGATGCTGATATTCAGATTAAGGGAAAAAAAAAAAAAAATCAGAAACAGTTTAATTCTATATACCATATTACCAAGTCTAAATAATTCATTAATGAAAAAGAAAATCTATATGACATCTAGACAAAAAGATTTCTCTCCAGAAGTGTGAATATGTCTGCATGGAAGTAACTGCATACAATTTCAATATATTGAGTTTTAAGGGTTCTCATTAAATAACCACACCCCATCTCGTTTCTACATTTGAGAATAGACTCAGTGCCTTCTGTCTGTACTGAGACAGCACTAAAAAAAATAAATCTATTTACCATTGTGCCTATTGACTATGAGGACAGGCTGAGAGAGTGGGGGTTGTTCAGCCTGGAGAAGGGAAGGCTCCGGGGAGACCTTACAGGGGCCTTCCAGTGCTGAAAATGGGCTGCAGGAAAGGTGGGGAGGGACTCCTGTCACAGAGTGTGGTGATAGGATGAGGGACAATGGTTTCAAACTGAAAGAGGGGAGATTTAGATTAGGTATTAGGAAGAAGTTCTTCCCTGGGCACAGGTTGCCCAGAGCAGCTGTGGCTGCCCCCTCCCTGGCAGTGTTCAAGGCCAGGCTGTACGGGGCTTGGAGCAACCCGGTCTAGTGGAAGGTGTCCCTGCCCATGGCAGGAGGTGGGAACTAGGTCACCTTTAAGGCCCCTTCCAACCCAAACCATTCTACAATTCCATGACTTAAAATTGATACAGTACAGATGAACTTCAGAACGACTTTAATTCACTTAAGGTTTCTGATACAAGGCTGAAATTTAAAGTAGGATACGATAGCCCAGTCACAATTCCTAATATGTCTCTTATCATCTTCTCATTCTTTGACATGTCTTTCTCATTACTATTTAGCTAGATTCCTGATAGATATGAATTAATATAGCTCTTTTTATCAGAGCATGTTTAAAAAAAAATAGCAAGTACTCACTAAAACGTCTTCAATGACTTCAAGAGACATCATATCAGATATTCATAGCAAGTATTTTATAAGGAGAAACTACTGTATAGGAGCTAAGGGTCATATTCGCAGAAATTATTGTCCAGCTGACCCAACAGTTCTACCTGTTTTTAAGGACGTTAAATACTTCTTTGTGAAGGCCCCAGCTTTACTTCTGCAACTTTTCCAAACTTTAGCATCTAACTTGAAGAAAAACTGTTAGCCTGTTATAAGACTAGGCTTTCAGAATCTTTTGAAGTGCTCCATACAATTCCACATTCTATGCTGAAGAAAACTGACAAGACTAAGTACAAGTTGAAGGTGATAGAGCGGAAAAAAAAGAAAAAAAAAATCAGGCTGAAAAAACATGGGAAAACAGACAACTATGCAACTAAAAGCACACCCATCTCCAAAAACTCCATTATAACAAATTTCCCTGCCTGATCACTTCTCCTATGTTAATAAGTAGCTGAAACACAGAGCGATAATATGTTGTTTTATCATGTATCAATGACAGAGGATGACAATCTAGCATTCATACGAATTACTATTTTTTTTTCTCAAATGGCAAAGGTCTAGCATGTGTTGTTGATTAAGCTTCATACCATTGGTGATTAGTCATGCAGAATGATCATACAAGACATACTTTCCTTTGGTTGGTTGATTTCAAAACTAGAAAAATGCACATTAAGAGCTACATTATAAAAAATACTAAGGTTTGAAAACAAATCACAAGAAAAATTTGATTTAAAGCATCCTATGAAAGCAGAATTTAACTCCTCCCCAGGTCCCTTTATGATTTATTATTATATGAGTACACAAAAGAAGGAGATTAGCAGAACATCTTTGAAGCTTTATGTCCTCAAGACAAAGAAAAAAATCATATGCATTTCCACACTATTTTTTTCCTTAAGACAAACATGAAGTTAGTTTCTGACAGAGCAGATTTATCTCCAAAATCTCTCCAAAAGTATGACTAGAGAAACACAAACACATTTAAATACAGCAACTTATAAATGCCACACATCTATAATAGCAGGATAAATTTTATTCCATCTGAAGCTTTTTCAGGCAACTGTAGGAGTTTCTCCATAGCTCTGTGCCTATTCTCCACAGAAAACCAGAAAAAGATATTTCCAATAAACAGTTTATGTATAAGCTTATGCAGTAAGGATCAACCATTTTTAGCAGAGTCTATTTTATTCTATAGCACTTTTATCCAGTGAAATTACTTAAGATGCAACTAAAGTCTGTAGTTAGCTTTTTAGTACTTTTCCTGAAGATAAATCAGACTTATGTGTATCCACTCTCAGACATTAACAGTGTCTTTCTTTAAAACCAGAGGAAAAATACAATACTAGTTATGGTAATGAATCAGTACATAATAACAACTGTGAATAGAGAAGAGGAATTTAAGTATCAAACCTTAAATGGTGATACATGAGTAACTTTCATCAATTTCCTAAAATGGAAGATACCACCTCATAAAATCCCTAAAATTGTAAGTATTGCTACTGTCAAACTTGAAAATTCACCAGAAACCACTGTACATATTAACAAATTATATGAAACATCTCAAGGATCCTACTAAATTCCTGTACTGAAATCAAAGTCAGAAAAAGGAAAAACATTCAGTAAATTTCTTTCAAGAGTATCCATATGGTCAGGGCTTGTTTATACAGCAACACCCGACTGGCATTACTAGTGTAAGGTAACCTTTTCACCAAAGATATGAAATAAAATATTAATAGTAAAGGATTTACTTTTCAGTGGCAATATTTATGACATCGATTATACTAATACAGAAACAAAATATTGTTTTACTGACATTTTCTTTAAATATTCATGAATGGTACACAGCCACAGAACACCTTAGCAACGTCAAACTTGCTTATTTGTTATCTTTTTTGGAAAACTATCAGGATTGACTAGGAATGATCAGTTATATCATAACTGTAAGTTGTCAAATATCTTCAATTACCTGCCTAATTTTGAAGCAAAAATAATTACTCTTCCTCTTAATTTTATCATTTAAAAATTAGCATTTAAGGAAACCCTGCCTAAAAGAAAACCAAAACTACTATAAGAACAATCTTTTTTTTTTTTCAGCACCATAAAAAAAGCTTGCATTTTGGGAAACATATACCTGACTTTTGTGTATAAAATGAATTAAAAGATAGCAGGCAATATTACTGATAAATGCATATTAATGCGAGCACTTGGAGGATAAGGAGTTGGCTGGATGATCGCACTCAAAGAGCTGCAGCCAAGGGCTCAATGTCCAAGTGGAGATCAGTGACGAGTGGTGGTCCCCAGGGGTCGGTACTGGGACCAGGGCTGTTTAACTCCTTTGTGGTGACATGGACAGCAGGATTGAGTGATTCTATGATATCCTCACCAGCAAGTTAATTCATGCCAGCAAAAGCAGCAACTGTTCCCTAAGGGCTGTCATATTGAGAGGATGAATGTAACAGGAGAACAAGCAGCATGTTCTCACATCAAAGGGAGGACAGCATGGAAGAGAGATACTATTCATGTGGAACACAGCAGTGGATCGACACCCCTGCTGGGACTTCTGCTGTATTCTTGGAGAAGGACCAGGCCCCGCAGGTGAAATCTGCCCCACCTTCCTTG